AAAGTCAGACGTCAGACTCACACAAAAATCTAAGAATGCAATAAACTTTTAACTCAGTCTGATCCTTGCCACAAAGACAGCCCACAAAAAAAATACTATACATCACAAGAATCAAAATGTATCAATAAAAGATATAAAAGTTAAATGAATAGAAAAAGTCAGACTCACACAAAAATCTAAGAATGCAATAAACTTTTAACTCAGTCTGATCCTTGCCACAAAGACAGCCCACAAAAAAAATACTATACATCACAAGAATCAAAATGTATCAATAAAATCAGCAAGATATAAAAGAAGGTATTCAAGGAGGAAGTGAGGGACAAGAAAAAGCCATAAAAATTGGCAGAAGTGAATATTTTCAATAATTGTACAAAGATTAAGTACTCCATTAAAATACAGAGATGTCATAATGGATGATTTGTTTTTTGAAACAGGGTTTGACTATGTAGCCCCAGCTGGCCGGGAATTCACTGTGTAGACCAGGCTGACTTTGAACTTAAAGAGCTCCAACTGCCTCTGTCTCCTGAATGCTAGGGTTAAAGGAGTGCATGCTTTATTTGTAAAGTTCTATTGTGTGGGTCTGTTCGCACATGCCTTAGCACACATGGAGGTCAGAGGAAGACTTGCAGGAGTCAGTTCTCTCCTTCCGCTACATGGATCCAAGGAATCAAACTCACATCATCAAGCTTGACCTCAGGCACCTTTACATCTCTCTGGCTAGAGTCATCATTCTGGCCCACATGCTTTATTTTATTTTTTAAATTTATTAATTTTATTAGCATATGTTAGTTGTAAATAATAATTTCTTATATTTTCATATGTGCATGCAATGAATTTTGCTTTGTTTTTTAAACTTATTTTTTGACAGTTTCATAAATGAGTACTGTATTTGCATTATTTCCACTTCTACTTCCCTCCCCTTTCAGCTCTTCCCATGTTGCCTTTCACTCCCTCTCAATTTCATGACCTTTGATTAATTTTATATATACATGCATATATCTCTCTACATATTTATGTATGTATAAAATTTAGTGAGTTCATTTGAGGGTGTTTGTTTGGAACTGGAAAACATTAAACTGAGGTAACCCAGACTGAGAAAAACAGATACCACATTTTCTCTTTTATTTGTGGGTCCTAGCAGTGACTCTTTAGATGCGAGCATATAACCTGAAACACCTGCAGAAGCCTGGAAAGTCGAAAGGGACCATGTGTAGAGGGAGGAAGGAGTTCTAGAGGGGGGTAGTAGAACACAGGCACCATCAAGAGGGAAATGAGAAATATCACGGGGAGACTTTAGGGACGGGAGAGAGGGGGTAATATAGAGGGAGACGGGACATTGAGATAAAATGAATGAATAGGACTCAGCATTTATGGCAGAGTGCATAGGGTTCAGTGGAGGGATAGGGGGAGGCATGGATGGGGGAGGGGGTCTGGATTCGTGTGGGAAATGTATGAAATTTAAAAAGCTCAATAAAAAAATATAAAAAGATATACGATAAAACCATAGGGAAATGTATAGTTTTATAAGCTTACATAAAAATACATATACAATATATATGTGTGTGCTTCTGTGTGGCTGAAGGCTTTTTAACAAAAATCTCAGTGCCAGGCGATGGAAACCATCTCCCTTTGAGTTGTTGCCCAGTACATATTTTAGTAAAGATTCAAGTACATATTGTCTACAACACACAAATTCTGGATTCAAAGACACAAATGTGTTGAAATGAAATGATGGGAAAAAGTAATATAAAAGTGGTAAGTTAAAGAGAGCTGAGGTTACTATAATA